ATGAGATCTGCAAACTTTATAAGCTGCCACTGGATGTTCTTTACTGGAACCCTATTGTGATTCTCCTTTCATCTACTTGTTGTCCTGCTTTATTAAACTATGATTAGAGCTGGGAGGCCACAATGAAGTTTAAAAAAATAAATGTATTGTTTCTTCTTTGTTATTTTAGTTAGGAAACTGCCATCATATTTCCCTATTATTTTATAAAATAAAGAAAAGAAACCAAAAACTTGTTTATTTTTCTTTTTTTATTGTTGCTTTAATTTCAGAAAATGAATAAATGACACAATAGGTGTTACCTTAAGCAGTAACAAACAACCCGACATAGGATCCGTCATGATCGGTTTAAGGAATCTGACCCACATGCAGAGAAACCACTCAGAGAACACGGGGGAAAAGTTTAACAGGTTTATTTGATGTAATGTATACAGAAGTAGGATCTGGAACTCAGTGGACTGGTGAACCGGTGTAGGTACCAGATTGACTCGGGCTGCCAGATTGACTCGGGGGCCTGCGCCTTTTGATGACGTCACAATACATAATTGTTTTAACGTTTGCACAATTGCGCAAAACATTTTGATTGGTCTGGACAGCTTACTAAAGTAATTATAGCGGGGTGTAGGTTTTATTCGAAAGCGGGATTGTGGTTTGTAAACGGACAATTTTACGAAGAAATTCTCCATGGTCCCTGCGCCTTCCGATGACGTCACCGAATTCGCCATGGGCCTTGCGCCTCCCGATGACGTCACATTATGGCAACGCCAAATAAATAAAATAGATTTGTGACAAATAGAGACCGCGGGCGCAATGTAGTTTGTTTGAGTGGAGTTGCCATATCGTTACGAGTGGCGTTGCCATATAGTGACGGGCGGAGTTGCCATATTATGACGTCATCAAAAGGCGCAGGCCCCCGAGTCAATCTGGCAAAGTCTGAGGGGAGATCACAGAGATCACTTCAGGGACCGTAGGAAATTTGACTGTGGGTTGAATAATGCTGGTCAGGGACTCACGTTTGAGGAGGCTCTTGTCAATCCTTGAATCCAGTCAGTGTGGAGTTAATCCAGAGAAGGAGGGAACTTGTTGGAGAGCAGACAGTTAGACTTACGTTGGACCCAGAGGAATAATAGAGCAGACTGTCACTTGGATTTCCGATGGGAACTTGAACGGAAGATGTGGAGGTTTTCCTCTGCTCAGTGTGTACTGAGTAATTCCTTCCAGGGGGAGGAGGTCCAGGTATTCAGTTTTCACGGCAAGGCTTCCTGTTAAAGAGCAAAGACAAAAACACATTAAACTCAGAGAAACAAAGCTAGGTTAGACTCTGCTAATCTCAGCTTGGCTAGAGTACCCAAAACTGGCAAACACTCTGGTGTCGAGGTAGTGACAGCCCACTGCTTAAATGAACCAACGAGCCGCAGGTGTGCAGGGAAGCCCAACGAGGACAGGGCACCACCTGGTGGTGGAGAGAGAAGAAGCACAATCAACCCACACAAACTGGATTCCTAACAGGATCACAGTAACTGAGTTACTTTATTCAAAAAGAAATGTGTTAGAGTATTCGTTATTTAGACTTAGACTTAACTTTATTTATCCCTTGTGATTACTCTTTCAGGAAAACTATGGAGTTACTAACAAAAGTAACATTGTTGTAGTGTTTTGTTTCAAGCAATTTGCTACTGTGCTGTAACAAGTTTGTACTGTTGATGATATACCAAGACAATGCATTTCCATGTTAATGTCTGTTTCTCATCCCATGGTCAAAGCTCTACTCTTTTATTGAACTTCTTAGCTCACCAAGCTATTGCTCTCTACACTTGGAACCATAGAACTTGACATTTTCCAAACAGTAATTGTAGCTATAAAAGTTCAGGATTGAAAGATGGTTATGGAGCAATCACCAGGGTAAATATTGGTCTGTTACTGTGAGCAAAACTAATTTCTGCATAAATTCTTTACCATGTATACAATAATGTTTTTGTGAGCTGTGGGTTTACCATTGCAATTAAGTATTATTTATATGTATGCCTACTTTTTAATTTGAAATCCCATCTATTCTTGAGTATAATCAAAATTTAAAATAAATATCCTTCATTTGGTGAAAATAATAAATATGTTAATCATGAAAAAAACAAATATAATACCTCCAAAATATAATGTTATATATTTGTTATATATTTGTACTTTGAGATTATGTTTTGTTAATTTTTGCTATAATAAAAACTGCTGTGATTTGATATGTTGACGTGTTTCATTTTAATGCAGTAATTTCTTTTATATAGATCCTTCTTTATTCTAAACAGCTAAAAAAGTAAACAAGTGACATTTGCTAAAAGGAAATGATGAAAAGGTACTTTTTATTTTGTTATGACTTATATTGAAGTGAAATGTTATCAAAGTAACCACTTTTTGTATTCTTTTCTCCTGTAAAATGAGCCAACTTTTCTTTGCTGTTTAGGGATTTTTTCAGGGGGCAAAATTCTTGGTGCAACATTTTTGAGGTGTGGATCTAGGTGTCAGGTTAGAAACGAGGTTAAGGTTAGGGTTATGCATTCTGCAGTGATGGTTACAATCAGGCCAAGGAAGAGTGTTTTATCAATGACTGTAACCTAGAAAAAAGATAGAAAACCAGATGTGTTTGTCGTGCGGAAATGAGAATGCCTGCTGTGTGAAAGGTGAGAATTCCACAGGACACTGACATCCAGTGATGTCAACATCTTGTCATAATTTGCAGCTCATTGACAAGAGTGCAGGGCGCAGCCTCTATGTGTCATACTATAAATACAGCCTCTGATAGACTTGTGTTTCATTACAATCTAACTACTCTGAATGCTGTTTCTAACATTAACAAATTTGTCAATGTTAGAAAAGCATTTGTCAAAATTATGATTTGGGTCTGAAAATGAAAAAAAGCTAGAAATGTATTTTAAATAAGCCGTTGTGCGTTAACCCTAATGGTACAGGCTGCAGTAGTACATATTTCAGTCGTGCAAAACATGCAAAAAAGCCACATGCCCTGCAACCCTCCATCTAAATGCCTCTGCAGTATTTGGTCAGAGACATCATGTACTTAAACGAACAGATGTGGACCTGTGGCTCAGTGGTTTTTAGCTTAAAGTTTCAAAAGCTTACTGAGGAAGCAACCAACCCAACCTTTTATACAAAGGCATACGTACCTTTCACACTGGGGGTTGGGGAGCTCTATGAGGGGTGTCAAAAACCATTTCACACTTTCATACGAACTGGTTGAGTTCGGATGCACAGCTAATATACTTTTGATCTTTTCCACAGTTTCCCTCATCTAAACAAAATGAGTATAACTAACCATAACCTTTTTAGCAGTGATGACAGGTAGGTCTTTCTTATCTTTCTGTTATACTGTTCTATGTTCAGATAAAACAGCTTAGACTCAAGTATGTATGTTTTTATGACTTAACTGCATTTTAATCATATTTGGCTTTTCGCATTTTACAATTTTTCATTTACTTCAGTATAATTTGTAGGTTTGCAGTGTATCATTGTAAGTTTTACTTGATAAAGTTCAAGAACAGGAAGTATCCTGTCTTTTTAATTTTGAAACATTATTGAAACGCCATATAGCATTTTTAAAATATTGTCCAAACATCTGGAAGTGTTGCTTGTCATGGGTTATAAAAATTCTAATCAACCTATAAAAAAACGGGAGAAAAATGCTTTAAACTGTATTCTTTTATTTATTTTTATTTTTTTGCTGCAAAGATTATTTTTTATCCACATATATACAATAAGAGTAATGCAAACTGAGTCACGTTTTTACTTTTTCGCATTTTCGTCTTTGCAGTGTTTGATATATGATACTAACATTATATATATATATATATATATATATATATATATATATATATATATATATATATATATATATATATATATATATATATATATATATAGGCAATGTTATATTAGTTTGCATAAAAAAAAAAGTTTGTGATGTAATTTACATTTAACAATTATTTTATGTTAAAGAATGTATGATTTTCTTGAGGTAAATTAATGGTTTATGTCTTTATTGCTTCCTTCATCAACTGAAACCTCTATTTCTAATTATCACAAACTAATCTTTGTTGGTAGTTTTTTTTTTCTTTTATCATTGCACTTTTTCATTTTTCGGGCTGATAGCCTCCCCGGTTGGCTCCTTCTTCTGATTCTTAGTAACTGTACTCAAGACAAGCAACTTCTAACCTTTACTTTAGGTCCAAAGGAACATGCTGGTCAAGTTGAGATGTTACTTTCAATCTAAATCTGCTATGAATAGTATGAATAATTTCACACTTAAATATGTATTTAAAGGATTACGGAAACACACCAGCTCAGTTGGTGTCAAAACATGTCATTCCTAATTTCTTTCAAACCGTATTGTGCTTATAATAAACAAACCAATCAAATTGATAAAAATAAGTCATTATTACCTATTTAGTCATTTTCGTATCACCTGTATTTTCGTGAGATAATCATCAGGGGGTTGTAAAATGATGTGATCAGTCCCGTGATGTGGTTTTAGTTCTGAGTCATTCTACAGAAATGAAAAAAACAAACTATCAACATTAAGAGTCAAACCATAAAAAAAAAAAAAGAGATCGGCTGTAGTTTGTTTTTTCCTTCAATTATAATTTATCTTAAATAACTTTATTGATGTTGGCACTATTTCATATACAAATCAGCACCAGAGGTCGGATTATCTAACCTCATCTGTTTAAGATTACCATCAGTTGCACACAATAACCTTTTTCTTACCCCCCTGTCGACCACAGATGCATGTCTTCATTTATGGCAGAATATTTATAGTATATTTCCTATTGTTTCCTTTTTTTCTTTTTTAATGATTGCACATGTAACTTCAGAGTATTCGCCTACTGTAGTCTTTGCTGAATACAATTCAGCAAACATTACTCACAGGGTCTTGTTGTTTCAGTTCTGCATTTTGTGCAGAAGCAGCCCTGCTTTCAGTTGAAGTCTAACAGACAAAATTAGAAGGCAGGGAAAATAATTTATTCCTGGACAGATGTGAGCCCGGAAGCCTATAACTGTGAACATTCAGAGGGGATTTTGCTTAAAAGGGTGCGATCAGCTGTTTTCTTCCTTCAGAAACTGGGTCGTGCTACACTTTCTGTGTCAGATGAATGGATTAATACCCCAGCTGTTTCAGCTTTCACTTTTACTCTCTGGTATAGGCTCATTTAGGTAAGGAACAAAGCTGTGGCTTTAATTTGATCTCTTGTTAGTTTTTTTAGTAAACAACATTCCTGAATACGCTTTATGCTAGTCTCTGCTATCTTGTTTCTCTAGTTTCACTTAAGGAGGATTTTTACTTTCTGTTTAGTTTCCTTTTTTCTGTTTTATCTATAAGCCTTCAAATATTATAACTTTGTTTTTATTTTTGTGCCTCCAGGCAGGGCTTCTATTCTGACAAAGCCTGTATGCTCTATGTGATTATGACATTTTACGTGGCATACAGACATACCAGTGTAGAAAAAGTAGAAAAACTAGAGACCAAGCCCATAAACCTTCTTGGAGAGGTTTCATGTGTATGAAAAGAGGAAGGCTTGAAAAATCTTGTAGGAAAACTTTAAAATACCAGCACAAAGCCTCCATCCAGTTGTTTATCATCTAGAAAACAGTAGGATTTTTCTCTCAGCAGGTCCAGACAGAAACTCCTGGGTTAAAGAATATCATGTTGAGAGAAAAATTAGACAAAAAAGACAAAGAAAGAAACCAATGCCTAAGATATAGCAGGCACATAACTCCAAACTGGAAATATGTAATTATACTGAAAAGATTCATACTCAGACTTGAGGATTATAATAATTAATATAAAGATAAGTCTAAATACTCCCTCTTAAAATACCTGTTTTTGTAATGAAAAAAATGAAGTCAGACTTACCGTAATCATTTCAGATTTATTTTTCTGGCCTTAATTTTTAATTATTTAAACTTCATATATACAGGCAGTCTCATTGAGATCAAAGATCTCTTAATCTGACATACATTCTGTTTATTCAACTAACTAAAATGACAGAGGGAAAAATGCAAAATAAGAAAGATCAAGATCAATGTACAGCATTTAACTAATAATTGAAGATTTATTCTAGTCTTATATACTTTTTGGGTAGAAACCAGCTTTCTGTTGTAGCAAATGGTTTCCAAAAAAAGATAAGAAAAGATTTTCCAATCTTTAGCTCAGTTGTGTTTCAAACGTATTGCTTCTCACTTTTTAAAAATGTAACACATAAAGTGCTATTCAAGTTGGACTAAATCACCATATGGGTTAAAACAGTACAATGCGAAAGTAAATATGCTTTTTATTACAATGCAGTTATAGGAAATTCAAGAACGCCTGTAGAATCTGATAGGTTCAAATTTCCACCACGTCGCCACTGCAGACCTTCTAGACAATCAGTGAACAGAGATCAGCCGACCCCAAAGAATTACTGATGAAACAGTGTGATACATATTAAAAGAGGCGTCAAGACTTTTTTATTTAAGCAAGCCTATTCTGCCTCCACATGATTTTTATGATGTTGATTTTTATCTTTGATTTTATTTGCACTGTGTAGCACTTTGAGATTTTTATTAATGAAAAGTGCGGTACAAATTGGATTTATTATTATTATTATTATTATTATACGGTAGGTCAGTTTGCAGACACTAATAGCATGTTACTGGCCATATCCTGGCTGTACTGTATGTGAACTAGGTGTAGATCATCTATAGATGCATTATTAAGACAAGTAAATAGTACATATTTTGTAGCAAAGATGTTAAAAAGAGCAATAGTCAGGAAGAAAAAAATTATTGAAAGAAAACAATACTGTGTGGGGCAGTAAAGGTAGTCACAAATAATAAGAGAAAAAAATTGAAAGCTGAGACATTTTAAAACTGGATCCTTTCCCAGTACTGATAAAATGAACAGATGCAAACTGCAGGGGATGCCACCAAAACATTTTAACAGAAACAATGATCTTCAAAAAATCTTCAGATATGTTGTGCCTTAGAGAGTGTTGGTCTGATGCTATCATTTCAAGTAATCAAATAATCAAAGTAATCTGTACCCAGAGTAGGAGGAACTTGTTGCTCTGCAGTAGCTTTTATTTAGATAAGCTGCTCTTTTTTCAAGATAAAAATGATCTTGAAAAAGTCCCAAATAAAACTTGGTTTTATCAAAAGTTTTGGAATGGCTCAACTTGAGCCAGAATGACAGCAACTAGAGAACTAAAAACAGCGCAGAAACAGAAAAATTAAACCCAAAAGCTCAAATGCAATCTGATGATACGTGAAGATTGTAGAATATAGTTGCGCTGTAGGCTACAAATGGTTTCGCAAAAATATTTAGTGGACTGCCTCTTAAAAAAAAAACTTTGCCAAGAATTTTTAGGTCAGAATATGGTTTGAAGCCCCTCTTCCACCACAACCACATCAATAGGAAGGTTAACCACAGAATTATGTATATCTCTGGCAGAATCAAGTTGAAAATGATTGTTTCGTTTTATACGCATGTTTCTTTGGCTAGAAGAATTCATAACATTTTGGAGAGTAGTCTAACTGGAGTCCCTACTACAGTCACAGAGAATGTGTAGAGACAGCTTAAGATTAGTGGTATAGCAAGGGGGGCTTCCAACCTAGTGTTGGACAAGCAGAGTCACAATGATTGTGAAAGTTTCCCCTTTACAAACGTGAAAGTTTGTACATATAAAGGATGGTGCTTCTGACTAAGTGGGGAGCCGTTCGGGAGCATCACAGGGGGCTGCACTCACACTAGTTGTTTTACTCAGAATGCTCAGTCATGCTATTTCTACAAGTCAAAGTCTTGTTTGCAAAAATGCTCAGATGATGCTGCACTTATCGGATTTATCAGAGATGGTGTGGGAACAATCATCTTATCTTGAATGTGAAAAGGAAACTATTTTTCTTTTTTAGGAAGCATAGGATTCATTTAAGAATAGTTCAAGAATTCAACAACCTTAAGCTTCAAGTGCCCAGCACACTACATTATTTCAATTATGGTATTTTCATATATGCTGCTGAGTACAGGAGAGTTTGTCCTGAATATCTTACTGTTAGTGTGTATGTAAAGTGTGTACAAACTGAGGCAGCAGAAATGGAACAATAACTTTGACTGTCTGATAATTGTTAGACCCTTAAAACCTTGGATTATTTTTTTTGCATATTTTTTATAATATTTCAACATTTCTAGTTGTAAACCTGCGATACATAATTAAACTGGGCCACATTTCTCAGAAACTGAACTACAATGTGAATGTTGTTTTTTGACTCAACACTCTTGTGGACTTAGCAAAGCTTTGAGCTGGCCCTTCTTTGAAATGAAGAAGAAGATCTACCTGTGGGCACACTTCTTGGCATTAAAAATTGATACTTTACAATGAAATTTGTAGAGTATAAATGATAAACATGTATTTCTGTTGGCATTGTACTGTAAAGTAAAGACGCACTACAATACAGACGCCTTTAGAGGTCCAAACCAGCTAATTTTCCAGTGATCTAATCTGACTTGTGATTGACAGGTAGAATAAAATAAAATTTTGGGGGAATGCAGCCAAACTAAACACTTTGACATCTGATGGTCCATAAACAAATTTATTAACAATATTTACATCCTTGCATTGATCACTTTTTATATTCCTTAAGTTGGTAAATTAATCAAAATTTAAATTGCAGGTCAGTCCTCAGAAAAAGTTTTATATTAGGGAAAACCTACTGTAAACCTGAAAGGAAATATTTGTAAAATACTAATCAATTATCTGTTTTTTCTCTTCTTACCAGCTATAACTCTACTATGTTCTCCACTGAATCAACCACCGACTACTATGACTATACCTATGACTATCCAGAAGAAGGCTTTGGAATATGCGTTTATGAGAAATATGGTGCTTACTTTCTCCCACCCCTCTATTCCATTTTCTTCCTCCTTGGTCTCCTTGGAAACTCTTTGGTGATCTGGGTAATTGTCTCAGGAGTGAGACTCCGCAGCATGACTGATGTATGTCTGCTAAACCTGGCCGTTGCTGACCTTCTCATGGTGAGCTCTCTTCCTTTCCTCGCCCACCAAGCCAGAGACCAGTGGCTTTTTGGAGATGCTATGTGCAAAATGGTCCTTGGTATCTACCACATAGCCTTTTACTGCGGGATCTTTTTTATCTGTCTGATGAGCGTCGACCGTTACTTGGCCATAGTGCATGCAGTTTATGCCCTGAAAGCACGGACACGCACCTTCGGTATTGCAGCAGCGGCCGTCACATGGGTGGCTGGCTTTTTGGCCTCTTTTCCTGACCTGATCTTCCTCAGAGAGCAAAAAAGTGTCAACAGCTCTCATTACTGCTCCCCTGAGTATCCCATTAAGTCAATCAATGACGGAACCCTCAGCCCTCATTTCTGGAGAGTGTTTAGTCTCTTTAAAATGAACGTTTTGGGTCTGTTTCTCCCAGTTTTCATCCTGAGCTTCTGCTACTCTCAGATCATTTGGAGATTGCTGTCAACTCATACCTCTAAGAGGCAGGCCATCCGTCTGGTAGTTGTCGTGGTGGCTGTTTTCTTCTTCTGCTGGGTTCCTTACAATGTGGCATCCTTCTTCAAAGCCCTGGAACTTATGAACATCTACACCGCATGCAAAAGCAGTAAGGTCATCAGGCTGGCTTTACAGATTACTGAAGCCATCGCATACTCCCACAGCTGCCTGAACCCCATTCTGTACGTATTTGTTGGGGAGAAGTTCAGGAGACACCTTGTGAGGCTGATAAACAGAGCTCCGTGCAGTCTGTGCCAGGTGATCAAGTTGTACCTTCCTCAGGACAGAGCGACCTCAGTGTACTCACAAACTACCAGCGTGGATGAAAGAAACACTGGGGTGTAATCTGGAAGTCTGAACTCATACTGTTGCTTATACCGATACCGACAGACTGTTTATATCAAGTCATATAAGTTTTTCCTAATTTCCAGGTAATTTCAGGTATGCTTTATTTGTTGCATGTATGTAAGCCTTTAGACTTTGCTGAATGTAACACTTTCCAATGCACAATTATGTAACAATTTACCAAATACCTTAAATGTTTTTTCTTATACTGTATATATAAATTCTTTATATAAGTGTGTGTCAGTAATTCAGAATTTCTTAGGAATGCTATTTTGATTCTGTTAAACTCCCAAAATTAAATTCATTATTATATCACTTATTACATAATGTTTATGATAATGGCTTCCATCTAATAGAAAATTTATTAAGAAGAATATAATTTAACATACAAATGAAAAAGGTTTACTAGAAGAAAGTAAGTCCATATAAGGGTCTGTGTAGGGGGATAGCATTTTTATGTTTTAGAATCTCAGTTTCCCATGGCATGTTTTTGTTGCATGCATGTACACTATATTGCCAAAAGTATTTGCTCACCCATCCAAATTATTGGAATCAGGTGTTCCAATCACTTCCATGGCCACAGGTGTATAAATTCAAGCACCTAGGCATGCAGACTGTTTTTACAAACATTTGTGAAAGAATGGGTCGCTCTCAGGAGCTCAGTGAATTCCAGCGTGGAACTGTGATAGGATGCCACCTGTGCAACAAATCCAGTCGAGAAATTTCCTCGCTCCTAAATATTCCACAGTCAACTGTCAGCTGTATTATAAGAAAATGGAAGTGTTTGGGAACGACAGCAACTCAGCCACGAAGTGGTAGGCCACGTAAACTGACGGAGCGGGGTCAGCGGATGCTGAAGCGCATAGTGCGAAGAGGTCGCCAACTTTCTGCAGAGTCAATCACTACAGACCTCCAAACTTCATGTGGCCTTCAGATTAGCTCAAGAACAGTGCGCAGAGAGCTTCATGGAATGGGTTTCCATGGTCGAGCAGCTGCATCCAAGCCATACATCACCAAGTGCAATGCAAAGCGTCGGATGCGGTGGTGTAAAGCACGCCGCCACTGGACTCTAGAGCAGTGGAGACGCGTTCTCTGGAGTGACGAATCGCGCTTCTCCATCTGGCAATCTGATGGACGGGTCTGGGTTTGGCGGTTGCCAGGAGAACGGTACTTGTCTGACTGCATTGTGCCAAGTGTAAAGTTTGGTGAAGGGGGGATTATGGTGTGGGGTTGTTTTTCAGGAGCTGGGCTTGGCCCCTTAGTTCCAAGGAAAGGAACTCTGAATGCTTCAGCATACCAAGACATTTTGGACAATTCCATGCTCCCAACTTTGTGGGAACAGTTTGGAGCTGGCCCCTTCCTCTTCCAACATGACTGTGCACCAGTGCACAAAGCAAGGTCCATAAAGACATGGATGACAGAGTCTGGTGTGGATGAACTTGACTGGCCTGCACAGAGTCCTGACCTCAACCCGATAGAACACCTTTGGGATGAATTAGAGCGGAGACTGAGAGCCAGGCCTTCTCGTCCAACATCAGTGTGCGACCTCACAAATGCGCTTCTGGAAGAATGGTCAAAAATTCCCATAAACACACTCCTAAACCTTGTGGACAGCCTTCCCAGAAGAGTTGAAGCTGTTCTAGCTGCAAAGGGTGGACCGACGTCATATTGAACCCTATGGATTAGGAACGGGATGTCACTTAAGCTCATATGTGAGTCAAGGCAGGTGAGCAAATACTTTTGGCAATATAGTGTATGTACGTATGTAAGTTTTTGGACTTCAATGAATGTAACACTCTTCAGTGCACAATTATGTAACAATTGACCAAATACCTTAAATGCTTTTTACCACAAATTCTTGATATATGTGTGTTCATTAAATCATTTTTTTAGAAGGAAATGAGAAAAAAATCATGCTCTTATGATTCACTTATTTTAGTTTCTCTTGAAAATTAAGGGCAAAATGTTCTCAGTTATTATTCACTGGTGGACCCTTTTTCTTGGGCAAGTATAGATTTAACATTTTATTTGTGTGATTTCATTAATTTATAAATAAGTGCAATGTTTAATATAAGATTTTAGAGAGAGTTATCAAACCCTTATATTTTAAGTTTTATAAATCCAATCGGTTTTAAATTTCAATCATAGGAATTCAGATATAAAATGTATTTTCACATAAAAAGGTAACATAATCCATTTGAGGCTGTAGATATCCCTGTTTCTTTTTCATCTTTCAGTGAAGGTTTTTGGTTGCTCAGCAGCAGTTTTCCCCACAGCGTATACGGGTTAGGTTAGATAAAAAATACTCATCAGATAGAACATTTAATATTCTGCTTAGTAAAGTTATTTTTTCTTTATTAACTGTAAGCTATTTTGAAGATATTCCAATGCACTTGTATGTTGTACTTCAGGAACATTTTATAAAGCAGGTTAGAAATTGCTTTTAAATTGTATCTGTGGAGATCACAGAATTATTTTTAAACTGAGCTATATTCTCTCTTCCTGTGCTCAGTATGAAACTGTTACCTCCAACAGCTATTTAAAAGTTTGAGCTTTATCATTGTTCGTAATCTTTTGCAACTGCATTAAAGCAGAAAAATAATTAGACCTACTTACTTATAAGAGTACAACAGTTTTAAATCATAATTGTGATGAGTTCCTTTTTTTGCACGTTTCAGATTGCTGCAAAGTTTTTCGTCTGTGGTGCAACTTGCAGCTTTAGTTTAGTAGGTTTTGAAACATGTTCTGCAGAGGATCTGTACCTCACCTCAACCTAAAAAAAACCACAACCTGAAAGAGGAAACTTGTAACCTGGCTATGAGTTTAACCTTTTCAGACTCTACAAACAGCCACACATTTTATAATTAATTTTATTTAATTACCCATGTATTTTTTTTTATAGACAGGAGCTTTTGCATTAAAAACCTTAACAAAAAGCACTATGTGACCAGTGACAAAGCTGAAAACTTCAGGATTGAACAATGTAAAGAAAAAGAAGAAAGCCAAAGTAGTGATAGAGTTTTAATTATAACTTCTCTGTTATCTCTCCTGCATCAATCACACATGTATTAAATTTCGATTTTTCAGTAAAAGGGATTTTGAAGCAATCATCTTTTAACCACAACATCCTTCATTTCTGGCCCTGCATTTCCTTTCTACTTCTAATGGGCAAAGTGTCAGTGCCTTTCAGTGCCTTCTAAAAAATATGCTCGAGCTCATGTTACATCAACAGTGAAGCATAATTTCTGTAATTTTACCTTTGAGCTATGAACGCCACCGTTAATAGCCATGAATCATGCAAAAGTCTGCCCATAATAGTACTATACAGGTTTTATCTTGTTATTTATCATATTTTAATGTTTTTAAAATGTGAAATATATACAGTGAGGAAAATAAGTATTTGAACACCCTGCTATTTTACAAATTCTCCCACTTAGAAATTATGGAGGAGTAGGAAATTGTCAGCGTAGGTGCATAACCACTGTGAAAGATTTAATCTAAAAAATAGAAAAAAATGAAATTACAACGTATGATTTTTAACCATTTATTTGTATGATGCATCTGCAAATAGATATTTTAACACCTGTCTATCAGCTAGAATTCTGACCCTCAAAGTTAGTCTACCTTCAAAATGTTCACCTCCACTGCATTCATTATCCTAAATTAGATGCACCTGTTTGAGGTCCTTAGCTGCATAAAGACACCTGTCCACCTCATACAATCAGTAAGAATTCAACTACAAACTTGACCAAACCAAAAAGATATCCAGAGACACTAGTGACAAGTCTGGAAAGGGCTACGGGGAAATTGCCAAGCAGCTTGGTAAAAAAAGGGTCCAACTGTTGGAGCAATCATTAGAAAATGGAAGAAGCTAAACATGACTGTGTCTATATCCCTCCGACTGGGGTTCCATGCAAGATCTCGACTGGTGGGGTCTCAATGATCCTAAGAAAGGTGAGAAAACAGTCCAGAACTACACAGGCGGAGCTGGTCAGTGACCTGAAAAGAGCTGAGATCACCGTTTCCAAGGTTACTGTTGGTAATACACTAACACATCATGGTTTGAAATCATGCATGGCACTGAAGGTTCCCCTGCTTAAACCAGCACATGACAAGGCCCATCCAAGTTTGCCAATGACCATTTGGATGAACCAGAGGAGTCATGGGAGAAAGTCAGGTGGTCAGATGAGACCATAATAGAACATTTTGGTCATAATTCCTCTAACCGTGTTTGGAGGAAGAGAATGATGAGTACCATCCCAAGAACATCATCCCTACTGTGAAGCAGGGGGTGGTAGCAACATGCTTTGGCTGTGTTTTTCTGCACATGGGAGAGGGCAACTGCACTATTAAGGAGAGGATGACCAGGGCCATCTATTGCCAGATTTTGGGGAACAACCTCCGTCCCTCAGTTAAAGCACTGAACATGGGTCAAGGCTGTGTCTTCCAACATGACAATGACCCGAAGCACACAGCCAGGATAACCAAGGATTGGCTCTGGAAGCATCATATCAAGGTTCTGGCATGGCCTATCCAGTCTCCAGACCCAAACCCAACAAATAATCTTTGGATGGAGCTCAAACTCTGTGTTTTTCAGCTACAGCCCAGAAACCTGACTGAGCTAGAGAAGATCTGTGTGGAGGAGTTGGCCAAAATCCCTCCAACAGTGTGTGCAAACCTGATGAAAAACTACAGGAAACGTCGGACATCTGTAACTGCAAACAAAGACTACTGTACCAAATGTTAACACTGATTTTCTCAGGTGTTCAAATACTTATTTGCAGCTGTGTACAAAGAAAGAGTTTAAAAGAAAAACATATATTGTAAAATCTGGATTTTTTTACATTATGTCTCTCACAGTGGACATGCACCTATGATGACAATTTCAGACCCCTTCATGATTTCTAAGTGGGAGAACTTGCAAAACACACTGCTCAAAAAAATTAAAGGAACACTTTGAAAACACATCAGATCTCCATGGGGCAAAAAAATCATGCTGTTTATTTATACTGATATGGACTGGGTGATTTGTTAAGAACAAAAGGATGCTACATCATTTGATGGAAATGAAAATTATCAACCTAAAGAGGGCTGAATTCAAAGACACCCCAAAAATGACAGTGAAAAAAATGTGGCAGGCTAGTCCATTTTTGCTGAAATTTCATTGTAGCAACTAAAAATGGTATTCAGTAATTTGTATGGACCCCACGTGCATGTATACATGCCTGACAATGTCGGGGCATGCTCCTAATGCGACGACAGATGGCATCCTGGCATACCTCCTCCCAGAACTGGACACATCACTGAGATTCTGGACAGTCTGAGTGTTGGGATCCTCAGGCTTGCCCACCAGAGGGCGCCGAGGATCCTCTTCTGCTTTCTTTGTCTTTCCCTTAGGGTGGAGTCCCAAGGTTCTGGAGATTACCCTCTGCCTCCAGCAGAGTGCGCCGTGGGTCCTCCTGAGCTGAACCTCCCACACACCTGTGGCTGATCTACTAAT